TTAATTGAGAATGAACATAAGCGCTGTTGGATGTCAGCTACGTAGTCTAACTCTTGGACGTTCACACGCGACATCGAAGGCCTTGAGTTAATGTCGCACATTGAAATGAAGAAGCTGTTCAGTATTTACAAAATTTCAACAATGGTCTAAGATTGATAGGTTCGTGATGAAGAAACTGGACATTGAAAATGAAGTTTCATCTTGAACGACAAAACAGTAGTAACGGTTGCGTAATGAAAGTTGCCAGGACGTTCATGCTATGGTAGCCGACACAAATAAATTAAATATGTTCTTTCATTGGTGGCTGCGGAAGTTATCCAGTTAAGACGTCATTGTAAATTAGTCGGCTGTTTGATTTTGGTTATTATTCTATCCTATTAATTAACGCTGGTATTAACTATAGCATTGATTTTCACCGGTTTACAAAGCTGAAAGTACATGATGAAAATGTAGAACATGTTCAAGGGTCCTTATCATAGGATTTTACAATCTGTGGAAAATATTTGATCACGAAATTCATACGTTAATTACGTCATTTGCACTCCATCCTTGAAATGTTCTCTACACACTTCGTTATTCTTTCAATTTTTTTGTTATTTATATTGTTCTCTGTTTAACTTTCTATTCTCATGATTTTAAACTTCAACTGGCAGGCATCCTACTTTCTGTTCGTGATTTGTAGGACTGATATCTGTCCGCATAACCGGCCCATTCCGTAAAATGACTGATGTCGTTTAGGATGTTTAGCGAATTTAAAACTCCTAAGAGGACCTCGAAGTGATCTGAACAGGAACACAGTGATTTGCATGCCCAACTGAAATCAAATTATGTGGATACGCAACTATCTTCTATTTCTCTACGTTGGTAGCTGCTTTAAACTTGCTTAGTTTGAGATCGAGTGATTGATTCTCCTTCACAGAACTGACGATTGCAGATAAAAACTAGTTATCAGTAAATATATGATCACGATTTGTCTACAGATTCATAGACGTTATACAGCTTTTTTAATCTGCTAGGTTTGAAGCTATCATGAGTTCACTTAATCTGCGAACGAGAACAAAACTCAGTGACCGAAGACTAGCAAGCTAGCTATTGATGCGTCCCAGCACCGCAGATACAAAGCTTACGTCTAATACTCAACCAAGCAGTTTTAATCCTACTAATACTGCACCATCAGTTGATGGTATCGCTAAAAGTTTCTTCGAGTTCATTACGATCCAGAATCCAATGTCCGTTTGATATGTGGTTTCGACGTTACGAAGACTTATTCAAATTGGACTTTGCTAATCAGATGATGCTTGGAAGGTCCCTTGCTGCTTCGAAAGTTGGGTCTTAGTGAACTAGACAGGTATTGCAACCTAATTCTGCCTCTAAACCCACGCGATCGCTCATTGTCGGACGCTGTCCAGTCATTGAGCCAACATTCGGAGCCAACTCCGCACTAATCAATGCGCGCTATCGATGTTTAAAGCTCACTATGAACAAAGATGCTGACGTTTTCACACACGCGGGTATCTTCAACCGAGATACGAACGCTTCCGGTTGAAGTCTCTTACCGAAGACCAAATTAAAGCACTCATTCTCATCTGCAGCCTTCAGTCGCAGAAGTCAGTGACATTAGAACACGTTTGCTAATCGATTAGACCAAGACCCAAAACTAACCCTTAATGATATTGCAAACAAATATCAACGCCTAATCAATCTACAGCGTGACACTACGATGGTCCAGCGTGGTGGTTCATAAATTCACTGGATATTGTTTACTTGTATCGTCTCATTGTTATTTAAGAATGCAATTGATCATTCTCATATTGTACATCCGGTGCGGATTGTCTCGATATAGTCTTAATACATAAGCTTTTTTAGACATAGATGGATAATGGTTAACAGTCACAATTGATTGATCACTGGGTGGTGATCAATCTCATGTTTGTCTAGTCCTTATTAGTACAGATCGAATGCTATCGATCATGTTGCAATGTGGCCACCAGTCTAGGTGACTCGACACTGCGGGCACTATGTATTGAGATTAGATGTTGGTTGGAGGTAGTCGACAGGAAACCCTGGAGCCGGGTTTCGTGCTACTTGGCACTCGTCAGCAAGGTGTACCTGTAATCTTGAGGGAACTGGTGCTCCCTGGCGGATTCGATCTCGTGTCACCCAGCTTCACAGTCAGAGACGTTACCACTGAGCTATCCGAGCCGTGACTGACCTCCTGTAGGACTGAGATGGTTAACAGTGGAATCCTGTTTGGAGCGTGTTTCGTCTTATTTGGAATTGATCAACTGAATGTATTTGTATTTAAGAGTTGATGTTTACTCTGAGACTCAGTAGCTAAATGAATCGCTCGATAGCATTTGAAGTGAACGATACTGAGTTCAAGTTCTGGTTGAGGTAAATATCAACTCTAGGATTCATATACATCCAACTGACGAGTTTCAAATAGAACGAAACGTGCATCCTGAATTATGCTTATAGATTTTTTGTTATGATAAACATTTGTTTACTTTGAAAGATCAATTTTTTTGAAAATTGTTGACGCTCTTTAAGTGAGAGCCTATTATATATTCAGTTAACAGTTGAGCATATTAACCAGCCAAAAGATCCTTGATTGATTCTGAATAAACAATGGCTGATTGATTGTCTTGAAACTACTTATATATTGATTAGAATAAAACACAACACAGCGTGGAGATTCAGATGGCTCAGACTAGTCTACTTGGTCTCACCTATCGTACAATCAACACGATATGACTATCATCATACTGTGAATGAACATTCTGTTACCAGAAGCATCATTAAACATATTGATTAGAATAGTATAGAAATTATTGTAAAAGTTAAGCAATAAATTCTTGATTGTTTATTACAATCAAATGATGGAAACAACTTAGACAATAGACAAGAATTTAGGAGTCTGCTAATCCAATAGGGTTACCCTGCGTGGGTTCGAATCCCATCCCTGTCGCCGAATTCGCTAGGTTTGAAGTGGTTATGAGTTCACTTAATCCGCGAACGGAACAAACACTCAGTGACCAAAGACCAATAAGCTAGCTATTCGATGCGTCTCAGCTCCGCTAACTACAGGAAGAAGTCCAAGATCGAAATAGGGTAAGTATAATTTGCAAAAGCCAGAAACGAGCGATAACAACAATATATATATACTGCAAAAAACTGTCCTTGGGGAGAGTTACAAAATAACATACTAAAAGACACAACGGACCAATGACACTTAAGATTCTTCCAAGTGGGAAATACGACATGAAGGTGGAAAGAGCTCTTTTGGCTCGAAAACAAAGAAATTCAAATTTTCTAAATCAAATTACAAAATTAGGTCCTTATCCAAGTGAGTTCTGGGGATCTAACGTCCCCAACAGAGTCCCATAGTAGGACCAAAATGGTCATCCAGTGCTTCCAAGTTTTCCATGGTGGTCTAGTTTCAATTGACTTATGATCTCAACTATTAAAATTACTATCATATCCACAAAAACCCCTTCTGATATAAGAACTAATAGTTTGAAATTAGTCTAGTCAAATATGTTTTTCCCAAAGTTCAAATGGTCTTCTTCAAAGTTTTGGGAAATTTTGGGGGGGGGTCCATTTCTCCGAAATTCCCTCAAAACGGATAAAAAGTTTTACCAAAATTAAGAGATTGAGAGTAATTCTGAATGCTTCCTTAATGTAATGTCTAATTAAGCTTTCAAAACTGGACAGTAGTCACAAGAAATATACAAATGATTATATAGCTGGATTGACATTATCGTTTTTTCACTATTCATCTCAAACTAAGGGGTTCTCTGTTAACAATATGAAGCCTGTCAACAACAACAAAAAACTGTAAAACAATGAGTTATGTCATTTTTGGACTTGATTCACTTTTAAAATACTGTACAATTAGTTGATATCTTTGTTTCTTTCGGAATAATAGTTATCCAATCAGCTTTTATGTCTTAGTATGGTCGACCTCTAGATGCTCCGACATGGCCGAAGGTGGGGAAAGTTCGCTCTGTCAAGAACTGTTCTCACATGTTCATGCGTATGCAACCACTGGCAGTAAAGTTGTACTTACTGTCTTCTTGTGGCATTACTGTTGTTTACGAAATTGAGAGGAAAAACCGCAAACGTTCGGCACTTTAACCGGGTTGGTGGACCCACAGAGTTCATCTAGAAGAGTTGGAAAACCCTAATTCTAAACCAATGGTACACATGCACTCCAGTATCTTAAAGGAACAAATGGCGTATGAACCTATTGTTGGTCACCAGTTACCATGAGACCGCATCTCCTGACGTTGCTCCACTGCCTTGTGGATCAAACCTTTAGATCGAAGGCTCCAAGTGTGACTGCTTAAGAAAACCATCTACTTCAATCTGGGTACCCAGGCAGTATCACAACCCACACACATATATATCAAGTGACTTATATGGCTCATATCTATTCGGTACCCCTTTGTATTAATATTTATATTTTCAAATAAATGATATTGTATCCCGCTTTTAATTTGACCTTCAGGTTCTAGGACGTTTAAATGATGCATTAAAACAAATTACACATACTTTAAATATTTATTATGATCATCATGAATCTAACTATAATGAATTAACAAATGAGAAACACAATAAATTACTAGCTGATGCCTATGATTGTAGAGGTATTATATATTTACAACTTGGTAGATTTCAATATGCTATTGATGATCTTACAAATGCAATTCGTTTAAATCGTTATTCAACAAAATATCTAATTAATCGTGGTGTTGCATATTTTTGTAATCATCAACTTATGCCTGCTATGATTGATTTCAAGTAAGTTATATATAGATTATAATTATCTGATGAATGCCGTTTAAGTAATGTAAATTATACAGTTATATTCATGGTCTACGAGAGTGCTTGGTACCTGTGTGGTTATGCCACAGGATTGAGCTGTACTATTCAGATTGTAGCGTTAAAGCCTATACGATGTCTAGTTCTCTTGTGAAGCGGGATTGAGCTGTACTATTTGGGTTGTCACATGAAAATCTGAATGGTGTCTGGTTCTCCTGAAAACCAATATCAAATTACCCTGGTCCACAAGAGTATATTATATTATATAATTATTTATGAGTCAATTAAAGCTAGACCATTATGGAAAACCTGGAAGAATTGGATGGTCAATTCATCGTGGTATAGGATTCCTTAGTAATGCGCACCCATGATCCCACCTGTGAGATCTGGAGAGTCAACTCAGATTTGATTGATCTGCATAAACTATTTTCATTTATTATGAAAATCCTTAACAGTTCAGACTATCTATCACGAGATTTCGTGCCAGAAAGGTACTGTTTAATGAATTATGAATGGACACTTCTTATAACGTTATAACATCTTGAATCTAACCCCTAGATATAAACAGAATCAATACTGTTAATAACGTTTTTAACTTCTACTGAAATCGATTTTCGTCACAGTCTGACAAAGAATGAAAGAGTTTTAAAAAATACGTAGTACTAGAGTGCTACTTTGTCTACCGTTGTAAAAACAGCTCACCAATGTACATCTACAATGGGATTCTATTTAACATACTTTGTGCTCGTAATTGGCAGGATAAACATAGACCAATTGATTGGAATGCAGTGGTTACCTAAACGAAATGCAGTCAATTCATGTGATGTGCAACCATAATTTGAATACAATTACTGAGTAAATATTTCACTTCCACAAGGATTTGAATCGACTGCATCTCTGTGCTAATGTGTTGCAACTCGAACTGATGTACGTACGTACGAAGTTCTAGGTTGTTACTGACTGACTGACTGACGACACAAGGAGTTTTACTGTAGCAATCACACTATTTTACTAAAACATCAGAAACTTTATTAATAGTAAGTGCATTGTTGTTGTGCAGTTAGGACGTTTTCGAAGACAACCTACTTACCTACGCCCGTTATACCTCATGGAGGAGCATAGGTTGCCCAGAAGCATTCTCCTTCCAACTCTGTCCTGGCCAATCCGTCCCAGTTGTTATTCATCCTTTTTATGTTTGCTTCCGATTCCTGATGCAGTGCATTCTTTGGCCTTCCACTTCACCTTCCTCTTTCAGAATTCCAAGTTAACGCTTGCTTCATGATGCGGCTTGATGATTCTCGAAGTGTATGTCTTACACACTTCCAACATCTTTTCCTAATATCCTCTTCATCTGGAAGTTGGTTTGTTCTCTACAACAGTAGGCTGTTGCTGATGGTATCCAGCCAACAGACACTGAGTATCTTGAGTAGACAATTGTTTAGAAATACTTGTACTCTTTTGATGATGATTATGGTAGTTCTCCAAATTTCAGCTCCGTACAGTAGAACTGTCTAGACAGTTGGCTTGACGATAGTTGTTTTGAGTCCCATATATTCTTCAACTGTAGAAATGCTGTCCTTGCTTTGCAAATTCTCGCACTCGCGTCTGCATCAGATCCTCCCTGTTCACCGATGATGCTGACAAGGTATGTGAATGTTTCCACCTATTCCAGAGCCTCGCCATCAAGTGTGGTCAGATTGGTGTTCTCTGTGTTGTATTTGAAGATCTTGCATTCGCCCTTGTTTATGTTGAAACCTACTGATGCAGAGACTGCTACTGCACTGGTTTTCTTGACCTACATTTGTTCGTGTGTAAGAAAAGCAGGTCATCTGCGAAGTCTTACTTTTCCAGTCGATTCCGAGCTGTCCTTTGTATTCCGTGCTTTCAATCACATTTGAAAGTCTTCATAATCCAGTCGACCACTACCAGAAGAAAAGGGAATGGGGGAGGGTAAGTAGCCTTGTCTGACTCCGTCTTGAATCTTGTCCAGGGTTTCCATAGAGATTCATTCATTATGACGATACCTCTTTCGGCCTAAAACCTCCTGACACATTGTAGTCAATGCTTCTTTGATCTCCAACTAGTTCTCCTCCACATTAGTTTCTCCTTCTTCTTTGAGTAAATCTTGAAGAGCTTACAATGTGTTGTTGAGAGTTATCTTGAATTGGCTGCGTTTGTCAGTATGTCGAAAGAAGGTTGTATTGAACATTTGCAATGCTGTTTCACCAGTTGTCCAGTGTTTCTTAAGCTTCACTTTCATAGCGGCTACAACCAAGTAGTGATGTGGAGCTATTTCAGCTCGTCTCCTAGTTCTCATGTCATTCATGGATCTTCCTGGTGTTTTGTTGATACCAATGTGATCCAGTGAGATATATGTGGCCTTGTGTATGAGATTGTGTCACCTATAACCAATCTGTTGGATGCGTTTATATTTGCAAATCTGTCACCATTCTTGTTAGTTTCTCAAAGCCAATCCATATCGTCCGATGATATCGTCATATGCGATGTTGTCCATTCCGACTTTGACTATTAGGTCTCCCATCAGGATGATCAGATCCTTTCTTGGGCACTTTGCTATGATCGATCGCAGCCTCCTATAGAACTGATCTTCATCGTCGTCATTGATGAGTGCATAACACTGGATAACATTCATCGTGATCCCCTCCTTCTTTGTGTTTGGAGTATGTTTGATGATCCTTGATCCATCAGATTCCCACCCAATAAGTGCATTTCGTGCTTCTTCGGAGAGAATCAAAGCAACTTTCTGAGCATGTGGAGAATCTTCCTTTCTGTGAACCAAGTATAGCAGCATCTCTTCCGAATCTAGCATTTGCTGTCCAGCTTGAGTCCATGGATTTCACTCATTCCGACCACCGCCAGTTTCTAAATCCTCATTTCCTTTTCTATTTGATCAATCCTTCTAGTCTCCCACATTGTCCGACCATTGCATGTACCTATATCAATTGTTGCTCTGGTTGTTAGAAGTGGCGTCGTACTCGTAACTTCCAAAGTATCTCGGATGTCATCATGTGGCTTCATAAATCTTCCTTCAACTCGGAGGATAGAGTTTTAACGGTTTAATTCGTTAAATCTGGTTAGTAGTCAATCAGTCAGTCAGTTACAACGTAGGACCAGGCACCTACAAGTTACCACACCTTATTAGCAATATTGTTTTTTTATGGAATGTGATTACTGACCTCATACTCAACCCTTCTCCCTTTATCATGGCTTAAAACCGTCAATAACTCTAGAAAACCTATAAACGGAGTTTCTTTTTCTTCAGGACCTGTTCAAACTATATATTCTTTACACTTATGATTATCCTTTATTCAATGAATCAATTCTCTTCTGATTACATTATAGATATGCTAATCAACTTGATTCTACCAATAATTTAGTTTATTATCATCAAGCATTAATTTATTTACATCATGGACAATTTGAACAAGCTGAAAATCGAATCAATCTAATTATAAACATAAAACAATCACCATCATTTATCATTAATCAATTACAATCAATATGTTTATTAGATCCAAGTTTATGGTTATTAAAATCAATCATTAAATTGATGAAATATAAATCGAATGATTATTCTGATTCTATATTGAATGAAGCATTAGATGATGCCTGTTATGCGGAACAATTAATAGTACCGAAATTAATGAATGAATTAACTAGTTGGCCACATTTACATTATACTAAAGGACAAATATTATATAAATTAAAAGATTATATAAAAGCTGATGAAGAATTTACAAAAGGTAAGAAAGTATTTTTTCATATAGTTACCCGTTATGGGTTGGATGGAGAACGCTGGTGAGCGGCCTATGCTCCTTCACGAGGAGTAACAGGCGTAACTACCGTTATAGGTCAAAGTGATTTTATATTGATTTTTCCCAGAGAACCAGATACTATCTAGACTTTTGTAATGTGACATCGAGTTGCAGTTGACTATGATCATCACTACAAGAAAATTGTGTATCAGATATTAGAAGACGATTAGAGGTTGTATTGAGGTATATTTGTTGGTGATCATCTCATGATATCGAAAGAATATTGAGATCATGCCAAAAGAGTATAAACGGAATCATTGAGCAAATGTAAGTTCGTGCAAGGTCACAATCAACAGAAAGATGAATAGAAGAATAATGAATGTCTTTAGTACAGTTAAACAAACAAGTAAAGTAGAACGATTGGTTATAATAACAATTGCCTCCATTAAACCAATCACGTTCTCTTGATAAAAGTAGGTCACTACACTTTCACTGACAAGTAGACTGAGCCGTGTTGATAGATGTAGACTATTCAGCTAGGATCTACGAGACGATAGTAACCGATTGTTAGAGACTTTGAATGTGACATAGCTCAAAATCTTTTGCAATGGCGTAGGTTCATCCACTCTTTGTGTCCTCCCAAATTCTAATCTTCTGAATTCTCCATGTCCAGTTCTTTTTGTTTCTCTTTCGAAATTTATTTCACCAGAATATACTCCTTAAATAACATCTTCAAATCCTAATCTTTCCGATTACTGCTTATACGCTTACTACCTTTACCACTATGGGATTTGAATCAACAATTGTATCTGTGTGCTAATGTGATATGACAACTCGAACTGATGTATGTACGTACAGTGTTCTGCGTTGTTGTTGTTGACTGACTGACTGATTCATGAGACAATCCAAAAAGTACAACTTAATCCTGTTTAAAAGGATAGCCAAACACTGCTGAGGCTTAACTCGAGTAGTATAGCTCAATTCTGTTTAATAGAAGAGTTAGATATTACCCAGGCTTAAAATTTGTTAACCAAATAGTATTGTTCAATCTTGTTTAATAAGACAAACAGGATTTTCAAGTTCTAATGATTGATCTGGTTGATGTTTATCTATAGGATAACGTTTTAACTAAGATTTCTATTCATTAGGTAATGAGGGACTTGAAAACATAATTTTATCTGTAATATGATCAAATATTATATTCAAGACTTGCAAATATCACAGTATTTGCTATAAATGTAGGTTATTGAATTACAATCTATACGGCCACTCTCAGGAAAGTCTTACTCAATGCCTTCTCGTGGCATTACTGTTCTTTATGAAATTGAGAAGACGAAAAGCGAATGTTCGGTGCTTTAACCGAGTTGCTGAATATGAAGGATTTACTTACGTGAGTTAGGCTCCAGGATCCTAAGAAAACAAATGGCGCATGAACCAATCGATGGTCACAGATTACCGTGGGACTGCATCTCCTTACGTTACTGCATTGCCTTATGGATTAGACCTCCAGGTTAGAATTTCGAAGTGTGGCCCCCTAAGACAATCACCTGTTTCTGTTTGGGCACCCGTTCAGTATAACAGCGCTCACACAAAGCGAATGATAACTACTACTAGCCTCATTGTTATTGTGTGTCGCACATGTAACCACTAGAAAACTCTACTTACTACCCAATAATTTATGGACATCATCAATAAATTAATCTCTAAGGCTTCCTACAGATGCCCCCTTCCACCCAAACAAGTTAGTGAATCCTTCTGGAGAGAAACAGGCCACATCTAAGCACGTCACAACTACCGGGGCTAGAATAACTGTTTTTGCAACCAGTTACAGTTTACTACGTAAGGAGCAACCTCGTGCATTACATACACCACTTTTGTCAATGTTTTGTCGTGTTTTTTTGCATCCAAAAGCAACTGTGCTGTGTTTCTTTGTATAAAGCTCGTAATCGATTTGAGGGTATCGGGTACACTACCTTACACCAATCTGTTCGTTATTGTTCCCCTTTTCTCTCTCGCTCCTTATTTTTTTCCTTGTCTTTAAATTGTCATTGTTTTGTGTGGCGCATATATATTTGGCGCCCTCTTGTACCAATATTTATGTGTTCAAATAAATAAATATCGGTTGAGTAGGTAATTAGCCCGATCTCTACTACCCAGGTTACCGCTCATGTTCAATCAGTCAGTCAGCTACAACGTAGGACCAGGCATATATATGCATCGGTCCAAGTTGCCATATCTCATTAACACAACAAGATGAACACCGGATTCATAGAAGTAGTCACTTCAATGGTAGAAATGTACAAAAGAAAGATTACATATAAGAATATAGTACAGGAAGAAAGAATTAGTTCGTAGAAAGAAAGATATGAAGCGATTTCAATCTCTTAGTTTAAGGGAAGACAGAGAGTGCATACACCTACGCCATTGTGATCGATTCTGAGCCATGTCACCAAGAGTCTCCAACCATTGGTTACGATAGTCACGCGGACCCCAACCAAGTAGTCTGGATCTACCAACATAGCTCAGACTAGAAGTTGGTGACTTCAAGCACTGATGCAACGTTTTGGTTTGGCCTCCATTAAGTTTCTTCCCCAATACCGATTAGCATTACATTTCGTGTTAATCGGTGTTCAGGTATACGTAACACATAGCCCAACCATCTCAGTCGATGAAGATTTACAACCTCATCAACTGATTTACCATCATCATTCCCTAATACCCTGCGCATCTAACCTCACAATTACTTACCTAGTGATCCCAGAAGATACCAGCAATTTTATGTTAGTTCATAAATCATTCATCCCACTATCCATGAGAGTTCAAGGATGCAGAAATATGAGTCAGATTTCATCTCCCTTCCTACAAATACTTTCTTTTTTATCTTCAATTACTACTTAAATAAAAGAAGATTGATTTATCATTACAAATTTATAGATTATTATTATTATTTTCATTATAAACTTTCAATCGGCATAATTCTATACAGACTTGAAGTTTTTTTTTCCCCCCCCCCTTCTACAATTATCATTATCATCTTTGTTATTCATACTGATAATATCAATTAGGGTAATAATAATAATAATAATCATAGTCAATGGGTTTGTCTCGAACATTTTCATTCATCAATTCTATCGAATAAAGAATATATAGATAGATAGATAGATAGATAGATATAGATACAGAGAGATATGCGTGTACGTGCGTGCGTGTAAGTGAGTGAGTGGTGAGTGAGTGCACGCGGACGTGCGTACCTGCATATATGCGTGTGTACTGATTTATATGTTGCTATGACTGTCCCCTCTCTTTCTCTCTCTCTCTCTCGCAAAAAAAAACGAAAAAAAATTTTAAAAAACAAAAAAATCAAAAAAAACAAAAAAAAATATCTCTACAATATTGGTTTATATTAATTTTATACTTCTATATAGATTACATAGAAATTAACGTATATGTTATTAATATACGCCCTAATAATAAATAAATAAATGAATAATTTGCTTATTATCCATTGAAGTTTCATTATGATTATTGTTTTGGTTAAAAAAAAAACAGACGAATAATAAAAAAAATAGTATAATGAAACCGCCCTAATCATGAAAAAGAAAAAAGAAAAAAGAAAAAAAAAGAAGAAAAAAGAAAAGAAAATTCAATAGATTTACTTACCTGGTACAAATGTTCAGTGATACATTTTTGAAGAAAAAAGAGAGAAAAAATCTATATTCACTTGATGTTTAAATGAAGTCAGAATAAATATTGATGCAGAATAATAATATGAATTCTTATCATATTTCGAGGTTTCTCATCATCAGTTGCTTACAACCCATTGATAGGTAATAGAATAGAACAATTGACATAAATAAATGAATGTAAATGATTGGAATGACAAAGGTTTACAATAGTAAGTAAGGTGTTTCCCTTGGACAATCAGCATCTGCAGTGATGCTGCCTTCTCACAAGGAAAAAAAACAAGGGTTAGAAAAGGTTGACCGTAAAAATGTCACACCTCACCTTACCTCACGGGTTTCCGTCGCCGGCGATAAGGTTTTTTGAAGAACGGAGATAATATATTCAAAAACCTCTCACGTAAAGGCCGTGCGTGACCGACTTCAAGCAGTTGTCCCTTGAGCTCTGAGGTCACGCTCCCAGGTCAACATTAATTCAACTTTCATGCAATTAGTTCCCTTTATGAATTTAAATAAGTCAAGAACAAATATTGATGCAGAATAGTATGAATTCTCATAATATTTCGAGGTTTCTCATCAGCTCCTTACAACCACTGACATGTAATAGAATTTTACATTGAGATAAGAAATAGTGTGAAACAATTGACATAAATGAATGAATGTAAATAACTGGAATGACAAAGGTATACAATAATAACTATATATATGCAAGAACAGGTCAGAGGTTAATTGGTGTTAGAAATAAAGAAATAATTCAGGATGGGTAGTGTAATAGTTTAGTGGAGTTCATAAAGTGTGTGATCAGTTTAGACTGAGATGATTGAGCCACATGTTACGTATGCCCGAACACCGATTACCACGACGTGCAATGCTAACCGGTGTTCGGGATGGTTGGAAGAAACTTAATGGAGGCCAAACCAAAACGTTGCATCAGTGCTTGAAGTCACTAACTGCTAGTCTGAGCCATGTTCGTAGATGCAGACTACATGGTTGAGGTCTGCGTGACTATCGTAACCCATGGTTGGAGACTCTTGGTGACATGGCTCAGAATCGATCACAACGGAGTAGGTGTACACACTCTGTCTTCCCTTAAACTATGAGACTAAAATCGCTTCATATCTTTCTTTCTACGAACTAATTCTTTCTTCCTGTACTATATTCTTATATGTAATCTTTCTTTTGTACATTTCTACCATTGAAGTGACTACTTCTATGAATCCGGTGTCCATTTTGTTGTGTTAATGAGATATGGCAATTTGGACCGATGCATATATGTGCTTGGTCCTACGTTGTAGCTGACTAACTGACTGACTGTGATCATTTTAGAGGTAATGAAGGATTCATGGAATTAAAACAGTGATAAGAAAGATTACGTAATAATTACAATGGAAGATGGTCGTGCAATTTCGTGGATTGGTTGATGTTAAACACTTTCACCATTGGATGCCGGCTCAGTGATCCAGTAGGTTAAGCCTTCGCGCGCGAGACTGAGGAACCCGAGTTCGAACCCCACGAGCGGGATCGTGGATACGCGCTGCTGAGGAGTCCCACAATAAGACGAAACGGCCATCCAGTGCTTTCAGGTTTCTAAAGGTGGTCTAAAACAATCGGTTCATGATCTCAATCAAAAACTTAATAATCTTCACAACCCCTATACTGGAATTTGAAAAGCTAACATAATTTAAGAGGATCAAGTGAGCGGAAATGTGTGAATGAAAAGTCGGTTGAAGGATTTGGTTATGGGGGGAGGATTATAACACAAAATAAATATTTTATAAAAAACAAATAAATGAATAAAATAACCCAAATAACAAAAAAATTGGATTACCAGGGTAACAATAAGTTTATTAATGTCTCTCTTCGAATACATGAATCCGGTTTAAGTATTTTATCGCGATTGCTTCAGCGAAACGGAGAGCAGTCGTACTTCTTTGTCTGTTGATAATTTTAAAAGTGTGCGGGATGTCGATGGTATACCTGGTGTCAAGTAAATGTCGGGCTATTGCACTGTTGAGAGCTTTGGTCCGTCGCAGCCTCAAGTTTTTTGGAACATGGTCAGAAATGCGAACATGCACTCTTCTCTCAGTTCTTCCAATGTATGTGCTTTGGCACGTGCATGTGGATTGGTAAATGCAATTGGAGCTACTGAGAAAAGAGGACTTGTCGATTTTAGTTTGTTTGATTGAGCAGTTCGTTTCCCAAACTGTTGTCAGTTTCGCTGCTGGGTAGGCCACTTTCAACGCGGAATTTAATCTGTGATTAATTAATCCAGCAATTTTGTCTCATTTGAAACGTAAATATAAGAAGAAAGTTTTCTTTTCTACTCTATCATACTTTGCCCGAGGATTGGTTTTTGCATATTTATGAATGAATTTCATCGGAGATGCATTTTCACGTAAACAAGTAGTGATGAGAGCGATCTCTTCATCCAGACATTCCTTTCAACAAATTTTACGTGCGCGGTCAAAAAGGGTCCGTAACTTATTGTACAGAAACTATAGTAATTGAGATATACTCCACTCCAAGTATTTTTGCGATGAATGTGTCTATGTAATGTGCCATCAGATGTTCGATGATTTTACTACTTTTAAAATATTATTTATGTTAAGATGTGTGCCTAGTAAGTGTTGAGCATTTAACGAAACCCGAAATCACTGGACGGCTGTTTCGTCCTAGTATGGGACTCCTCAGCAGTGTGCATCCAGGATTCCGCTCGCGGAATTAGAACTCAGCACCTTTGGTTTTACTTGCACGCGAACGCTTAACTTCTAGACCACTGACCTGACATCCAAAGGTACAACTGTCCAGTGCTTTCAGGGGTCGAGCTTAGATCGGTTCATGAATTCAACCATTAAATTAATAGTTTCCATAAACCTTTATTCTGATTTAATAAAATGTCAAATGTTTAGACAATCAGGCTGTTAAAAAACTACTATAAACTACCATTAATCAGCATCACACTACAATCATAAGTATGCCAACATAGTACTGAACAGTAATTATATTATCTATAAAACGATCTTGGACGTACATTCTGTACTATCTGGGATTAATCCGCTTGACATGACTTTTTTATTAAGATCATGAATCAGTTGATGTAAAACCACCAGTGAACACCTGTAGGCACTGGATAACCGTTTCGTCCTAGTTGGGCTCCTCAGCGCTGCGCATCCACGCTCCCACTCGAGACATTAGAACCCGGGACTTTTATGTTGGTTGAATTTAGATATTGACACCGTTGAGTGCCGGCTTAGTCAACTAGAGGTTAAACGTTCGCGTGCGAAACCGAAGGTCTTGGGTTCAAATTCCGTGAGCGGGATGCTGGATGCTCACTGCTGAAGAGTTTCATACTGAGACGAAACGGCCCATTCATTACTTCCATGTTTTCCATAGTGGTCTAATATCAATCGATTCCTAATCTCGATCAAAATCTTGACAATCTTCACAACTCCATACTGATGATATAATTTTATCTATAAATTATAAACTTTTGTAATTAACAGTAGTTAACAAGCACAACAAAAACTAATCTTGCTACTGACTGATGAATATAGTAACTTAGATTTACATAGCTTTTTATCAACTAGATATAACGCTGCTTTATCCTTTAGTAAAACAATAAAAATACAATCCGTAGAAAACCCAATAGTACTCTTCTAGCAATATTTTTTATTAAAGATTAAAACTCATATTCTATGCCATTAGACTTTACAATTGACTGATCACTGGGTAGTGATCAGTGTCATGTATATCAGGTCCTTGTTAGTGCAGATCGAACCCTGTCACCAGTGTAGGTGATCACCACCCAGTGATCAACCATTTGTAAATAGATCTCAGTCATACAGGAGGTCAGTTGCACCCTAGACAGCTTAGTCGTAACGTCTCTAACTATGAAGCTGTGTGACACAGGTTCGAATCCGTCAGGGAGCATAAGTTCCCTCAAGAATAATATAAGCACACTTTGCTGACCATAGTGAATTGTGACAATTATTAAGTTTTTGATTGAGATCATGAACCGATTGATGTTAAACCACCATTGGAAACCTGGAATCACTGAGCTGCCGTTTCATCCTATTGTGGAATTCTTCAGCAGTCTGCACCCACGATTCCGCTTGCAGGATTTGAACCTAGGACTTTCGGTTTCACGCTCGAACGGTTTACCTCTAAACCATTGAGCCAAGTAACATGAAACCTAGGTTCAGGGTTTCCTGTTAACTACCTCCAAACACCATCTTACCATTAGACTTTCCATTGTTAGTTCTTACCATGACTAATCAATAATATATTGTGATGTATCATGGAATTCTTTTGTATTTATTCAAAGCTTTCACCTTAAATTAATATGAACAGTTGTGGAAAAAGAACTACAGTTCAATAATACTAATTGTGTTTTATTTAATTATACCCAACAAATCTTTTTTCAGCATAGGGTTGTCGAGATCATGAATCGATTGATGTTAGACCATCATTGAAAGCCTGGAATCACTGGATTGTTTAAGGTTAGACATTAACACCGGCTCAGTGATCTAGTAGGTTAAGCATTCGCGCGCGAAACCGAAAACTCTGGGTTCGAATCCTGCTAACAGAATCATGAATGCACACTGTTGAGGAGTCTTACGATAGGATGAAACTGCTGTCTAGTGATTCCAGGTTTTCAATAGTGGTCTAACATCAATCGGTTCATAATCTCAATCAAATTCCTTTTTACATTGGACTTTTCTTATTGTTCTTCTTTTTTTTTCCTTCTAGCTCTCAGTTTATTACCATCCAATAAGTATATCTATCAAATACGTTGTAAATGTCGTGAAGAAATGTATCGTACCGGTTTGAGTAACTCATATGAAAATGCATTAATTGATTATCGTTTATCACTTTTGGCTAATGATGTAACTAACCAATAACATCTATGTATACACAAATATAATTTACACTTCATTTATATAGACTAATATAACTTATATATTTGTTCATTCATGTATTGGCTTCACCACTTCTATGAATCCGGTGTTCATCTTGCTGTGCTAATACGGTATGGCAACTTGGACCGATGCATATATGTGCCTGATCCTACGTTGTAGCTGACTGACTGACTGACTGACTTGACATTATTCTTCAACTTAAATGTTGATTTTGATTGAAATTATAGATTGGACAATCTAACAAGAATGGTGACAGATTTGCAAATACATGCACATCCAACAAATTGATTATAGGTGACACAACATTCTCCCACAAACTCATACACAAAGCTAAATGAAGGTCACCGGATTATACTACACAGAATTAGACCGATCGCATTTGCATCAACAAAACATCAGGAAGATCCATGGATGACGTGAGAACTAGGAGAGGAGCAGACATAGCTTCAGATCACCATCTGGTTGTGGCCAATATGAAAGTGAAGCTAAATAAACACTGGACAACTGGTGAAACAGCATTTCAAATGTTCAATACAACCTTCTTTCGACATACTGACAAACGCAGCCAATTCAAGATAACTCTCAACAACACATTTTAAGTCTTTCAGGATCTACTCAAAGAAGAAGGAGAAACTAATGTGGAGGAGAACTGTATAGGGATCAAAGAAGCATTGACTACAATGTGTCAGGAGGTTTTAGGCCGAAAGAGGTATCGTCATAGTGAATGAATCTCTATGGAAACCCTGGACAAGATTCAAGAAAGGAAGAACAACATAACTTATATATTTGTTCATTCATGTATTGGCTTCACCACTTCTATGAATCCGGTGTTCATCTTGCTGTGCTAATACGGTATGGCAACTTGGACCGATGCATATATGTGCCTGATCCTACGTTGTAGCTGACTGACTGACTTGACATTATTCTTCAACTTAAATGTTGATTTTGATTGAAGTTATGAATTGTTCAATGTTAGATCATCATCATCATCATCATTAAAAAACTTGAAAGATGATTGTGTAATATCATGAATTGGTTGAAGTTTAACAGGAATACAGTTAGATGTTGGTTCAGTGATTTAAAGGTTAAACGTTCGCTTGTGAGACCGAAAGTTATAAGTTCAAGTTTGGAATGTTCGATCGTAGATGAGAATTGCTGAGGAGTTCTGTACTAGAACAAAATGCCCTTATAAGTTTTCATTGGTGCTCTAATATTGATGGATTTATGAGATTTCAATCAAAAACTCAACAATTTTCACAACCCTATACTGATCATTATCATTATGTGCTCATTATTATTAGAAAGGTAATAACTGAATCATTATTTTTAGAATTCATAAGGATCTCAAGCGGAGATGGATGTGAATCATAATTATAAACTACGATGATTTTTTTGTTATTCAGGGTAGTTGACGGGATATTTATCACAAATCAATAATTAATCAATTTGAAATGTCTTACAACCGATAGATCAGTAGAGACCCAAATATCTTGGCCATATTATCTCTGACTAATAAAGTAGGAGTTCATGTGACCAAATTCTTTCAGGAGCACAAATTTCCTCAACATTATAATACATCGTGCTGAACGATGCTAGTGTTAGCTGATATTCTTCCAACCACCTAACATCTTAACATAGTTCACGTAATGTTGAATGACCAAGATTATCATTCTCACTATATCTTGATCGATAGGATTTTATCAGCATCAGAAGAGTTAGAAAAATATTTTGAATAATTAGGACTTAATAAAAATGAAAACTGTATGAGATAATTATGAAATAGATAACGCGATGGCGTTTAAAGCGAACGGTACCGAGTTCGAGTCCCAGAGTGAATATCAACTTTGAGATGCAGGTACATCCAGCTGACGAGTCCCAAATAGGATGAAACACGCATCCTGGATTCCACTGCTAGCCACTATCCATCATTGCTTACAAAAAGCTTGTGAATTAAGGCAATATCGAAGCATACGCACAGTATGCACATATGCTAATAACAGACTGATCAATCGCAGTCTTAAAACTCAATAGGAAGATACAAGCCAGACAATACCAAGTGAATTTATGAAATAGATGTTTAAAACCAAGAAGAATAGGTTATCTTTGTTCTATATTAAGGACTAACTAAAAGAAAGTGAAGACCACTGATTGTTACAGTGATGATTCACCGCTTCAAAGTATAAAACCGATAAATTTTAAAGTTTCTGAAAAATTTATGATGTGTTAGATTTCTGACACTGCATGAGCTCTCCTAGGATTACTTCCAGTCCCAATCTTCGGTGAAAAATGAGAGTTGGGTATGGGTATCAGAAACACCATTCCATAGAAAACAACATTATCTAAAAAACGCTAACCAGATTTAACGAATTAAACCGTTTAAACTTTATCTTCCGAGTTGAAGGAAGATTTATGAAGCCACATGATGAAATCCAAGAGTCTTCGGAAGTCACGAGTACGACGTCCCTTCTAACAACCAGAGCAACGATTAATATAGGTACATGCAATGGTCAGACAATGTGGGAGACTAGAAGGACCAGTGAAATAGCAAAGGAAATAAGGAGATAATAATTGATGGTGCTCGGAATAAGTGAAATCTATTGGACTCAAGCTGGACAGCAAATCCTAGATTCGGGAGAGATGCCGTTGTACTACGGTCACGCACAGGGAAATGCTCCAAACACTCAAGGAGTTACTCTGATGCTATTTGAAGAAGCACGAAATGCACTTATTGAGTGGGAATCTGATGGATCAAGGATCACCAAACATCCTTCAAAACAAAGAAGGAGGGAATAATAATGAATGTTATTCAGTGTTATGCACCCATCAATGATGGCAATGATGAGGACGAAAATCAGTTCTATAGGAGGCTGCGATCGATCATAGCAAAGTGCCCAAGAAAGAATCTGATCATCCTGATGGGAGACCTAATCGTCAAAGTCGGAATGGACAACATCGCATATGACGATATCATCGGACGATATGGATTGGCTGGGAGGAACTAACAAGAATGGTGACAGATTTGCAAATATATATCCATCCAACAAATTGGTTATAGGCGACACAACATTCTCCCACAAACTCATACACAAAGCCACATGTGTCTCACCGGATCGCATTTGCATCAACAAAACATCAGGAAGATCCATGGATGACGTGAGAACTAGGAGAGGAGCAGACATAGCTTCACATCACTACTTGGTTGTAGCCACTATGAAAGTGAAGCTTAAGAAACACTGGACAACTGGTGAAACAGCATTTCAAATGTTCAATACAACCTTCTTTCGACATACTGACAAACGCAGCCAATTCAAGATAACTCTCAACAACACATTGTAAGCTCTTCAAGATTTACTCAAAGAAGAAGGAGAAACTAATGTGGAGGAGAACTAGATGGATATCAAAGAAGCATTGACTACAATGTGTCAGGAGGTTTTAGGCCGAAAGAGGTATCGTCATAGTGAATGAATCTCTATGGAAACCCTGGACAAGATTCAAGAAAGGAAGAACAACAAAACAGCAATTAACAACAACCGAGAAAGAACACAGAAAGCCAATGTACAAGCTGAATACACAGAAGCAAACAGACAAGTGAAGAGGAACATTGAAGCCGACAAGCAGAAATACGTGGAAGAGCTAGCAACGACCGAGCAAAAACTTGTAAGAGTAGTAAATATGAAACAACAATGTGACACGATGAAGAAACTAGTAGGGATATATAGTAAACCAGAGAGACCAGTCGAGAACAACGAAGACAAGACTGTCATTGAGACTGGAGAACAGACGAATACATGGCTAGAACACTTTTACGAACACCTGAATTGGCCGGCTCCATCAAATCTACTGGCTGGATATCAAAGTAGCACACACAGACATTCTTATAGATGTCACTCCACCAACAATCGAAGAAATCAGGATGGTGTTCAAGTAAATCAAGATTGGGAAAGCACTAGCATCTGACAATTTACCAGCTGAAGCACTGAAGTCACACAGACGAGCAACTGCAAACATGCTCCACGTTCCATTCAGGAAGATTTGTTGGGAAGAACAAGTGCTGACGAACTGGAAAGAAGGACAACTCATCAAGATACCGAAGAAAGTAGATCTGATCAAACATGAATACTATAGAGGAATCACAACATCATCGGTACCAGGAATCGTTCTCAACCGATTGTTGCTGAATCGGGTGAAAGATTCAGTAGACGTGCAGCTTCGAGTTCAGCAGACTGGATTCCGTAAGGATCGGTCGAGCACAGACCTAATTGCGACACAACGCATCATCGTTGACCAATCAATTGAATGGAACTCATCACTACACATGAACTTCGTTGACCATGAGAAAGCGTTTGACAGTGTGGATAGGAGTACATTATTGAAACTTTTTCGACACTATGGTGTATCTGGGATGATCGTCATTATCATCTGGAATTCACACGACGGAATACAGTGCCATTTGGCGCCTGGAGGACTGTTTACAGATGCATTCCAAGTGAGGCGTCAGACGGAGTCAGACAAGGCTACTTACCCTCCCCCATTCCCTTTCTTCTGGTAGTGGTCGACTGGATTATGAAGACTTCAACATCTGAGAGGAAGTACGGAATACAATGGACAGCTCTAAATCAACGGGAAGAGTTAGACTTCGCAGATGACCTGCTCCTTCTACACACGAACAAATGTAGTTCACGAAAACAAGTGTAGCAGCAGTCTCTACATCAGTAGGTTTCAACATAAACAAGGGCGAATGCAAGATCTTCAAATACAACACGGAGAACACAGACCCAACCACACTTGATGGCGAGGCTCTAGAATAGGTGGAAACATTCACATACCTTGTCAGCATCATTGGTGAACAGGAAGGATCTAATGCAGACGTGAGTGCGAGGATTAGCAAAGCAAGGACAGCATTTCTACAGTTGAAGAATATATGGGACTCAAAACAACAGTCTTCAAACCAACATCAAATTGAGAATCTTCAATACTCATGTCCAGACAGTTCTACTGTACGGAGCTGAAATTTGGAGAACTACCACAATCATTATCAAAAGAGTACAAGTATTTCTAAACAATTATCTACTCAAGATACTCAGTGTCTGTTGGCCGGATACCATCAGCAACAACCTACTGTGAGAGAGAACAAATCTGTCTCCAGGTGAAGAGGAAATCAAGAGAAGATATTGAAAGTGGATAGAACATACACTGTGGAAATCTTCAAGTTGCATCATGAGGCAAACGCTAACTTGATACCTATAATGGAAGGGGAAAAGTGGAAAGCCAAAGAACACACTGAATCGGGAATCGGAAGCAAACATAAAAAGAATGAATAGCAACTGGAAACAAGTGGAAAGGATTGGCTATGACAGAGTTGGATGAAAAATGTTGGTAGGTAACCTATGCTCCTCCACGATGGGTAACATGAGTAAGTAAGCAAGACAGATTTCTGTTATCCGAAAGATTATTAATCATTGTTAACTAATTATAAATACAACTGTACTGTTTCACTGTCTGATCTTGTCAGAAGTGAAAACCTATTCACTGAATTATATATGTCCTTTCTTCAACGAATCAATGGATTATTTTCAGGGTTATTATTTTGAACTATGTTCAACCTTTCTATACCTTCTATTAAACAACCATATTCTAAAACTAATATAACAGTGTAGTGAATAAGAATACAAATGTGGACAATCGAATGTACCACAACACAAAATTACAATATCTCTTAGTAACATCTGAGAGTCATACAGTAGATACTTCATTTGCAAAAATGTCAATCAATTGTCTCAGATTTGTCTGATTCTTCTTTTCTAAACCAATCACTCTTTGTTCTCGTTCTTGTCGATCTACTTAACCTTTGATTGTCAGACATCTCCCTTTCGATTAATGATACATACTACTACTTATATCTGTCAATATCAGTAGTATACATCACAATTGTAAGTATATTCTTTAAAAATAATTAATTATACTTATGACAAATATATCAAATGAGAGAGAAAATACCTTCAGTTAGTTAGTTATATAAGCAACCTAGAACCTGGTCATCATGTGCATTGGTTCAAGTGGTTATATCATAATATCACAACAAGATAAAATTCAGAGTAATAATGATAATAGTATCAGTGTTAATAGCGAAACTAGACTTGAATAGTATAATCAAATGTATAAGACATTTTTGATAAGTAAGATCTGAGAGATAACAATCAGTGGATACATTTTTATACATTATGATCTATTTTGAGCCATATTATCCAGACTTTTCGACAATCGATAGTCTATATTTTTCCACATGGTTGACTAATCACTTGATGGTGATCAATGTCATATGTGTCAAGTGTTTCTTAGAGTAAATCGAATGCTATCGACTAAGCTGCAATGTAGCCACTAGTCTAGGTGACTCGACATTGCGTGCACTATGTTGAGATAGAATGGTGGTTGGAGGTAGTCAACAGAAAACCCTGGACCCGGATAGCCCAATGGTAACGTCTCTAACTGTGAAGCTGGGTGATACGGGATCGAATCCGTCAGGGAGCATTAGTTCCCTCGAGATTACAGGTTCGACTTGCTGACGAGTGTCAAAGAGCACGAAACCCTGGTCCAGGGTTTCCTATTGACTATCTCCAACTACCATTCTATCTCAAAATAGTCAATAGTTTCATGAAATGATATCAAGTTGTGTTTTAGTTACCTCCCTGAATTTCGTACAATGTACTCTTACTATGGCCATCATAGCCATCACTAGAACTAGAACCGTTGGATGCAGGCTCAGTGGTCCAGTAGGTTAAGCGTCAGCGCGCGAGACTGAGGAACCTGGGTTCGAATCCTGCGGGCGGGATCGTGGATGCCCACTGCTGAGGAGTCCCACAACAGGTCGAAATGGCTGTCCAGTGCTTCCAGGTATCCAACGGTGGTCTAACATCAATCGGTTCATGATCTCTATCAAAAAGTTAATAATCTCCACAACCTCATACTGATATTATATGCTATTTTTGTCTCACTATTAATATGGTAACGATAAATAAATCCCTAAAATCAATAGCTCTGTAAGTCTTCAACATTTGCTGTTGACCATCTTAGTTTTAATGTACTCACCTAGTTGAAAGAGCTCAGTGCATAGTTCGGCATCACATCATCAATGGATATACTGTTCTCAACTTTTCCTACAATCACTAGATAGTTTAAATCAGTCACTTCTCAATATATTGATAACTTATTAAATATATCTACGAATCTCTTCAGCTGTAACTCTTCTAGAGTTAATCCTAGTACCAAGCTCAGATAAAAGAGGAGAGTTGGGTATGAAGTTAACCACTCCATTCCATAGAAAAATTACTCTCTAATCAGAAAATATATATATTCGAACCTCTTCACTTCTAACTTTTGATTTCATTGGATTAACACGTTTCGATGATTATAGAAAGTGTTACTAGTAAAAGTGTTGTGAAATTTCAATGATCACAATGTTATATTTAACTTAAAAAGACTAAACAAATAGTACATTATAGTACATTTATAATAAGTGTAATTTGGAATAATAATAGTAATAATACAAAAAAAAACACAATAAAACACGAGATATAGCCTGCTCGTTAAAAATAAAGAAGACATTTCATTTGATTATTTTTAACCTGATTATCATTAAAATAGAAGTCCATTTATAACTCTTCTAACACTATTACCGGTTCCAAGCCCGGATAATAAAAGGAGGAGGAGGAGGAGGAGGAGGAGGAAGAGAAGAAGAGGAAGAAGAAGAAGAAGAAGGGGGAAAAGAAGAAGGAAAGGAGGAAGGGGAGGAGGAGGAGGAGGAGGAGGAGGAGCAGAAGAATGAGATAATATAGTCAATAAACATTATCCCATTGAAAACAATCATACTAATCATTACACTATCCATTATTCAATGAAATACATTAAATTGATTCTATTATAATCATTATAAAATCTTAATAATAACAATAAAGAAAGGAAGAAAAAAAAAGTTTGTCAAAAAGATTAAGAGTCAAGCTAAGGTAAAGTAAAGAAAAGAAAGAGAAGAAAAGAAAAAAGAAGAAAATAATAAAGAAGAAAATGATTAAATGAATTAGCCAAATTGGCATTTTCCCCCCCCCCTCTGTTTTATAAATACAAATGAACAATCTTTGTTTATGTTTTTTTTCTCCTTTAAAAAAGCAAACAAAAAAAAGAAAAAACATTTTGTGTATGTTCTTCCTCCCCCCCTCCGCACATACACACACATACACATGTTTAAATCGATTCTATTTTGATATGTATACATTGTGGGTGTGTAGGTGTGCATCCGCATGTGTGTATGTTGTTGTTGTTGGTGGTGGTGGAGGTGCTGGTGGTTGCGGTGATGGTGTTTTATTGAATTCATTATTGAATATTTCATGAACTATTTAAAACTAAATTGTATACACTACTGATTTCAATCAATTAATCAATAGTATCTATGGATAATGAATCATTAAAATAGACCACAATCTTTTAAATTAGATTTAATAATGACATCAATTACAGCATCAAATACAACACGTATATTATTATTATCAGTAGCACATGTAAAATGTGTATAAATTGTTTTAGTTGTTTTTCTACGATTAACATCTTCAAATTTTTCTCTTATATAATTTGATGCTTCTTCATAAGTTTGTTCTCCGGTATATTCAGGGAAACATATTGTTAATGGAGATTTTTGTATTTTTTCATTAAATAAATCTTTTTTATTTAAAAATAATATTATACTTGTTTCAACAAACCATTGACTATTACATATTGAATCAAATAATTGTAAGGATTCATGCATTCTATTAGTAGTTTGATCTTCAGCTAATTTTAAATCATATTCTGACATAGCAACTATAAATAATATAGCGGTAACACCTTCAAAACAATGTAACCATTTTTTACGTTCAGCACGTTGTCCACCTAAAATCAATCATAATAATAATAATAATAATCAATATATAAGTAAACATTGTATTATGATCGATAGTATTCGATCTGCACTAATAATAAGAACTAGACACGTATGACATTGATCACTACCCAGTGATCAATCAATTGTGATTACATCTCAGTCTTACAGGAGGTCAGTCGCGGCTCGGATAGCACAGTGGTAACGTCTCTGACTGTGAAGCTGGATGATACGGGATCGAATCTGTCAGAGAGAACCAGTTCCATCAAGATTAAAGGTACACCTTGCTGACGAATGCCAAGTAGCACGAAACCCGGGTTCAGGGTTTCCTGTCGACTACCTCCGACCACAATCTAATCTCAATATATAGTGCCCGCAATATCGAGTCACCTAGACTGGTGGCCATATTGCTACATGGTTGATAGCATTCGATCTGTACTAATAAGGACTAGACACACATGACATTGATCGCCACCCAGTGATCAATCAATTTTGATTACATTATTTATATTATTATGATTACGTAATTATAGGATTTCAAGTACTTATATCGATATAAGTAGTATACAATGATTCATGATAGAAATTTCGGCGAGACTCTACTTTATGAACGAATCAATCAGAGGCGGTTTACAGATTTCAGAGTTACGGCACCAACTTCAGTGCTTAATGCTAACGTACAATCGGTTCACAGGGAATTTTGTACAAAAAGTGATAAATGAGCGGCTATAACAAATAAAACAGCGAGACTATAATTTGTGAACGAAACAATCAGGTATGAGATAATAGATCTAGGATTTGAACGTGAAAGCCTTTCATCCATTTGGCGAAATAAATTTCTGGCATTATAGCTTGTGTCAGTTCGTGATGAAAACCCCATATATAATTCCTAACTAAGGCAATTATTGCAAACTGGATAATAAAAGCACCAGTAACACTGGTTGCAGCCAGGTACTACAATATATACGGAAGATTGGAGAGCGTACAGACTCCTAAATAGGCTTGGTTATGGGCATCGTGTCGTTATCCACAAGTGGCATATTGTGCACTCAACAACCGGAGTGCACATAAACAACATTGAAGCTATTTGGTCGAGGCTGAAAGAGTTTTTGAGACTTTATCATGGCTCCAGAGGCCGACTATTCTGTAGCCGTATGAATGATTTCCTCTGCTGCATGCATTGCGATTTTAGAACTTCTGAACCTCTTTCTAACCTTGACAAGTTTTTAAACCATGTATAAGAAGTGTATTCACTTTATTTCCTTGGTTTTGTATAACATATTTATACTCTACACTGACTGTTTGCTGATTGGCTAATATTTCTCAAGGGTACTTAAGATTCGTTCAAATGTCGTCCATAAATTAGTCTCGCTGAAATTTCACCAGTTCAAATCATGTGCCAATGGAAGGTAGACAATCATGGAAAACTTGGAAGTATGACACTCCTCAACAGTGCTTATCCACGATCCCGCTCGAGTGTGAACGCTCAACCATTAGACTAATGAGCTGGTCGATATCCAACGGTGTTAATGTCTAACTTCAACCAATCCACGAAACTGAGTCACTGTACACCAATGTCTTCAGTGATCTGATATCTCACAGCAGACCTGTTTGAACTTCACTGGTCACGGCTTCTCACTAGAACTCCAGGAAATGCCTCTTGAAGTCAGTCACTAGTGAGCAGATGATTATTGTCAGAAGGGGTTTTATGGAGATGGTTAGGCACTCGCGCGCGAGACTGATAGGTCCTGGGTTTGAACCTCGCAGGGAGGTGAGATCGTGGATGCTCATTGCTGAAGAGTCCCACACTAGGAGAAAACGGCCGTTCAGTGCTTTCAGGTTTTCCATGATGATCTAGCTTATATCGACTGATAAATTCAATTATTATAAGTTAGGGATTGAAATGAAATCTTCATTTGAAATTGAACTCTTATATGTAACACTCAATCACTAGATTTGTACAACAATTCCCGTAATAAACACTTTCTAAATGTTGAAAAGTGAATAAATAACCTCAAACATTATCATTGTTGAAATGACATTTTTGTTATATCCTGATGAGAATAGTGGATGGGAACTGTTGGAATCGATTTATGGATTAATACTGTACATATATTTTTATTGTATAATTGTTATGTAACTAAACTATGCATATTCATATTTCCCTTATCATAAGCTTTATTTCAACCCATAGATTATTATTATACGATTTGCCATTCTTGAGTTATTCCCAGTCTGTTCATTACAGTCTACCATCTTGACAGCCACTTTTGGCTAGACCTTGTACAAATGTTGTTTCCTATTTTATGCTATGATATGGTCTGTTTGGTTTTTATATAAACTGAGTACTAGGTTGGAGTCTCAGAGTGGACATCAACTCTGTGATGTAGGTTCATCCAGCTGATAAGTCCCAAATAAGATGAACCGCATGTATTGAATTCCACTGCTAGCCACTACCCATCTTTGCTTATAATGCTTGTGACTACACAGGTTGCTCTTATTGCCAACAAGAGACTGATCAACTGCAGTCGTTAACAACAATGGAAAGATACAAGCAAATAATATCAAGTACATTTATAAACCGAGTATGTTTGAAATACATGATTTATAGCAGTGAGGCTGAGATTAATGTCCTGGACTCAACAGTCAGACAGAGCCAGTCAGGAAGAAGGACCGATAAAGACTCTAAACTGTTTGTAAGGGTTTATGCATTATTAGTTCTATTGATAAGTCACTGTTCTCTAATTGGCGGTATCATTACGTTTATATATCAATAGGGCACAAGACTGTGCACTTATTTTTGAATCTTATTCAAATATAGCTGAAGATCACTGTTTGGTTTAAAACAAACCTACTCATTAAAATATTAGTAAATAAAAAGTCAACTCCGCCTGTAGCTCTTCTAGGGCTATGAACGATCCAAAGCCCGGGTAAATGAGGAAGGTTGGGCATGGGATCAGCAACCTTATCTTGTAGAAAACAACCTAGCTAAAAAGCGCTAACCAAAAGAGAAAATTAGGAAAAAACACATTGGAAGTGGATAGTACACACATTGAGAAAATAATCAGACTGCATCACGAAGCAAACGCTAAGTTGGAATGTTGAAGGAAAACGGAAAAATGGAAAGCCAAAGAACACACTAAGTCGGAAATTGGAAGCAGACATGAAAAGAATGAATAATAACTGAACACAAGTGAAAAGGATTATCCAGAACAGAGTTGGATGAAGAATGCTGGTGTGCAACCTATACTTCTCCATGAGGAGCAACAGGCGCAAGTAAGTAAGTGAGTAAGAAACTTTAAATCAGGTATGTGGAAAAAGGTGTTCTTGATTTTGTTACGCTTAATGATACTAATATGTCATTAAATTTCCCACCGAAATTATAAAATGAATCATTCATCCTTTCATTTGCAATTTGTTAAAAAGAATAGTTTTAAACAAAATATTTATTATCAGCAAAAATAGATGTTGGCTAACAGTGAGATGAAATACACGCGTTTCGTCCTATTTGGGGCTCATCAATTGGATGCAGCTAGCTACACTGCACAAGCAAGTGGCTATTAGGACTCAATAGTTAAGTGGATAACGTGATGACATTTGAAGCGAATGATACTGGGTCCAAGTCTCGGAGTGAACATCAACTCTGAGATGTAGGTATATCCATCTGACGAGTCCTAAATAAGATTAAATGCGCTACCTGAATTCCATTGCTAGCCACTACCCATCTTTGTTTAGAATACTTGTGAATTAAGGTAATATCGAGGCAAGTGAATTTTGATCAGTCGCTATTGGTGTATGTTCATACTGTGTAGAATACTAATGACACTACTATTAGATCCCAACTATAGTTTGAATTTGGATAGTGTGACTAGCAATTCAATCGAGGGTGCACATTTTTCCGTATTTAGGACTTGTCAGCAAGATATACCTGCATCCTAAACCTGTATTAATGTTTACTTCAATGTCTTACACTTCAACAATCAATACATTGACCACTAATCTACTGAATCCAAATAGTCATTGACTTCTGAAGTAAAAATGAAATTGATTTCAAATGGTGAGTTCAATATAACAAGGAACTGATGTCATGAAATCTACTGTTAGCCACAATCCAAGTCTGACTAGAATAATGATTAAAACTTTACAACAATATTGTATCAGTCGACCCAAAATATACAAAACATATACTAGAAGAAACTGATTAATTACAATTTACACAATCAATACCATAATCAAACCAAATACATAAGTGCCACACAAGTCACTTGATTTGTGTGTAGGCTGTGATATTATCCGAGTGCTTAAACCGAAGTAAAAATAGTTTTGTTAGGGGGGGGGGACACATCCGAAGTCTTTGATCTAAAGGTATGATCCACAAGACAGTGGATCAATGTTCAAAGATTCAGTCAACAACAATTGTTTCCTTCAGTATTCTGGAGCCTATATGAACCATTAATTTAGAATCAAGATTTTCCAACTCCTCTAAGTGGATCCCCCATATTCAACAACATGGTTTGCATGTTGAACATTCGCTTTTTGTTCTATCAATTTCGTAAACAACATTAAAGGTGAAAGATGACAGTGATTGGGACTTCTCTGGCAGTGTCTATATACATGTGTCCATGTGAGAGTATTTCAAAACACACACACACAGAGGGAGAGCGAAAGAGAGCTAACTCTCCCCACTCTCAGCCATACCGGGACATTCAGAGGTAATATATTCGTACTTATTTTAAATTCACATCAGATTTCTATTAATTCATTTATACATTTCTTATAATCCTTTAGTTATAACTTTGTATCCAAGGTATACAAATACATAAAATTCATACCCATATCAACATTCACTTAGTTACTAAATATATAAAAACTGAAAAAGAAAGTACATTTTTTATTTTTTGGGCTTAACCAAATTTTTCATGTAATTAAAGTCAATCACATAAGACTATTCAATTTCTAATTGAATAAATACACATTCATTATAATGACAACCATTTAGTTAGTGAATTCA